TGCCATGACAGAGGAGCCTGCAGGCAGCTCCCACGCAGCCCCGGCGATGACACCACCTGTGTGGCCTTGCCTTTATCTAACGGTGCAGCAACCAGTTCTCCTGAGAGCATACTTTTCCCTGTAAGAAAATCACATAATAACTCAAATGACCCGAAATAAGGTGCTTCCCTGCATGGACAGGATCTTACAGTGCACTGTGGGAAAATCCAGCTGGGCTCCGTCCAGTGCTGCATGCACATGGGTACCTGGCATCTGAGGGGACCTAAGATTTACTTGTTATCCATATTACTCTTCTTATTCTGCCTTATTAAAACAGTTATTTTATTAAGCCATTTGTTTCGGGCCTTCCTTACTGAGATCCAGAAAGCACCCCCTCACCACCTCTCTCACCTCACCTCCCCACCCCCAGTGTAGAACAACCTCCACAACCCTCCTGGAGCTTCATTCAAAATGTTGCCCTTGCCAAAAAGTAAGTTGGTTTACAATAAGTTTTCTTCAAGGGGCTTGAGCATTAGAGGGAAGAAATACCCAGAATTTGTGGGGAAGAACACACACACACACACACTTACAGCGACACACGCAGTCCAGGACAACTGGTGGTCAGGTCCCAGGTCCCTCAAGGGGGCTCTAGAAGCAGGCGGGTGGAGGGAGGGGGAGCTGGACCCTGTAGCCAGCAGTGACCCTGGGTGCATGTGCCTGCTTCCCACTGTCCTGTGGTGCCTCTGCAGCCACAGCTCCCGTGGTGATGATTTCCCACCCTTCTCCCCTCCATTTGAGGTCTTCTTTGGCAATGTGTTTCTGGGCAGCACTCAGCCCCCAGCCTCCTCCTGATCCAGCTGTACACTTGCCTGTTGTTTTTGTAGGCAGAGGTTCCTTGCTCTGCTCCTCCACTCTTTTTTCTTGCCTAGTTAACTGTTTCATTTGTTTGTTAAATTTGAAGCTGTTTTCCTGGTGCTCAAGGCCGTGCTTCTGCGATGACCAATGTCAGCAAGCTCTTGATGATGCTGGGGCACCTGTCTTCAGCCTGCTCCGATGCTCTCAAAGTCTTTGTTATGATGGGGAAATCTAAGTGTGGGATGACAAACAGCAGGAGACACTTGATATCAAGCTCTGCTTCACACGGTGGTTTCCCAAAACAGCCACATAACAAGGCCCCTAGGCCGGAGCTGGAGCCCTGTGAAGTCAACAGGAGGCAAAGTTAGTGGAAGGCTGGTGGCCCCTCACCACCAAAGGTAGTCCTCTTCTCACTGAGACACGAGGAATCATTCTTATGGGCAAGAGTAACACCTCTCCCATGCAGAGCCAGGAACCCACCTCATCCAGTCTAATGAATTCTTGAGAACTGAATATTTAATAGCCCATACTTAATTACCACTGAAAAAGACTGCTGTCATATAAAAAAAAAAAAAAAAAAAAAAAAAAAACCAAACCTAAACCAATGAAAGTAATGATCAATTTGACATTGATATATACAGGGCTGTGGCTGGCCCAAGCATCTGGGTGTGCCAGCAGACAATGGGGCCTTGGATGGAGGTGTCTTTGGCTGAGCAGGAGAAGACCCACCTGATCTGGAAAGACCAGAGGTCAGAGTTGGTGGCCTGATGAGGCACGGAGATCAGATGGAACTAGAGGCTGTGGTCATATCCAAGGGACTCATGAACACATGTGTGCTCGTGGGTACCAAGAGCAAGACTGTGTGCAACTCCTGCTGATGCACCTCAGGAGACATTACAGAGCATCCTGGACTTGGGTCTTTTGCAGGCATATGGAAGGAAACTTCCCAAAGGGACCTGGAGGCTGGGGAGGCCTCCCTTTGAAAGGTAGCAGCCTTTGGCTTCCAGTCAGCATGTTAACAAGGCAAATTCCCCAGCTCCTCCTGCCCTCTGCTTTCTCATATAATTCCCAGGCCACTGGGCCAAGGCCTTGCTGGAAACTTCTGTCCTGCCCAACAGAGCAGCCCTGGGGGCAGCTGCACTCACCCAGCCCAGCCGGGCACAGCCCATCTCAGCTCACAGAATACGTTCCCTTCCTGGTTCGTTCAAACCTGTCTTCTTCTGCTCTTGGTTGATTCTCCCCAGCTATGGCCAGGTTTCATTTGTTACTCCTAAGTTATCTTGGGAGCTGGAAAATTTATCTCAGCCTGCATGGCTAAAAACTCAAGAGGGGGAAAGAACTCTGTTGACAAGAGCCATCTGCATCAAGCAGAAAAGCTCCCACCCCAGCACCATGAGAGGGCCTGAAGCTGGGAACTGCTTTCATCACCCAAAACAGAAGTAACTTGGAAACCTCTACCTTATGGCTTTGTTCCTATACAATCTTTTTTAACATGAAAATATCCAATGCCAAGCAAAAAATACAGCTGAAAGACCCCATATATAACAAGGTGTCATCAGAAATGCCTGTTGGAGCATGGAAACCATAGAGCAAACAGGGGTTTTACTTGACTGCATACAGCAAAGCGCTTGTTTCAGGTCACCTTCAGAGTGTTTGCCATTTAGAAAAAGAAAAAAAAGAAAAAGAAAAAAAAACAGAAATAAAGGGAAGAGGCTCTGATGAGGTCAGCTATGTCTTTGCTTTGTCAAGGCAGGTCAGAGCACTCAGGGCTTACTCTCTTACTGTGGCACTGACTTGTTCTGTGCGCACAGAGCAACCTTCTCTCTTTCGGTCATGGGACAAAAGAGAGGCTCTGAAGGAAAAGGAGGTTAAACACACTGTGGAGGAAAGGGCAGAGGGGGTGAAGAAGAACAGGAAAATCAGAACTGTGTAGATAAATGAATATAGTCTAATGGAAACAGCACGCATCCTCTTACTACATTATTTTGTGATTTCCAAGGTCTGGTATTTGAAGGTGAATATAGAATTTTAGTCTCTTCCTTATGCATACTCCAGTATTTCCTTGGTCATCTAGCATAAGAGAGTAGCCAGGAATGCTTTGGTATCCCACCAGAAGCTGGATGCTCAAATACCAACTAGCAGGTAAGGAACGAGCAGCCCAAGCTACAGCCAGCTGCAGGTTCTGCTTTGCACGGGCGGTGAAAGAAGGTTGTGATTGTGTGTTGGTGTTAGCTGCTCTGATATGCAACCACATCTGACCCTTAAAAGTCATTTAAAGACCAATGATCTTCAAATTCTGCAGTCACCATACTGCAATTCATCCTTTTCCATCTGTATTGCAGGTAATGATGAATCAATCCTGTTCTTTAAAGACCCAGCATCTTTGAACCTTGATACAGCTAAAAGGCATGTTAGAACCAGGAATGCACCTTGCCTATTCAAGTCATGCCCAAGCCGCTCACTGGTAAGTTAATGACATGCAGAGCACGTCATGAATCAACTTATTGCAGAAGTACAGTATTTAGGGAATTTGTTTTGACAAACCAAACCAACTTGCTCATGCTTTTTTTCAAGTCAAGGGCAGACTTAACACTGACACCAGCCAAGACAGGAATTCTCTGATTCATCAAGGTTATATGACGGATCATTTTGTATTTGCAGCTGCTGACCACGCTGACCACGACCAGTCTGTCTACTGGCTCAGGAAACAGTGCAGCCATGGAAGCAACCACCAGACCATGGGCACACAACTTTTTTGGGGGAAAAAGCGTATCAGAGAAAGTCCAGACAGAAGTTTTGGGGTTTGCCTGCTCAAGGGGAGATCCTGGCGTGAAGCCCGCTGCTGTGCAGGAGAGCTCAAAGGGCTCTTGGGCTGCTCATTATTTATGGGGGTAAGATAATTGGCTCATAGTCATATTTGCATACTGACCACTGTGCTTAGGTGGGCACATTCCACAGTAGCCCTTGGCTATTGTATTGCTATCTGTCTCCCCCCACATCCAGTGGGTGCATGTCAAAGGAGGGGGAGTCAGAGACGAGGGGGGAGCACACCGCCACAGCCCCCCGCATACTTGATTGCCTGCCTGGTACGGTCAAAGCAGCAAAATAATTTCTCTGAACATTTGGGTTTTTTGGGGTGTAGGGGGAATCAACAAAGGCTGGGTCAGCCCCATTTCATTATTTGCCTTTGTGCCTGGCTGCTGCAGGATGTAACACCTTGCTTTGTCTGGAAAGCAAGCAAGCATTCAGAACACATTACTCACAGGCTGCAGCTCCTGGCAAAGTCACCTTCATGCCACGTAACTCGCAGGTGGGGAACACTGCACAGTGACTGCAGCTTATGAGGGAACTCTCCAAACCCCCTTGCCCCAAATCCTGTGACATCCTGTCAGTGTCTACGGGGAGAGATCCTGCTCGGGCATAAACCCGCTACCTGCAGAGTAGCTTATGAACCGTGCCTTGTTGCTTTAAAGGATGAGAAGGACCATTACAGCCTTGTGATTTTATTTTGATATCACAAAACGTGACATGAGGCCAACTTTTCTCTACTGAAGCTACCTTCTCCCTGTGCTCCACCTACATCAAAGGAGCAGGAGGCTCCTGTAGATGGCTGCTGAGAAGACTGTCTCAGGCTTCCCAAGTATCCAGCTTAATGTGCAAATGCAACTAGTGTTCAAGCCACAACTGCAGTGAGTAACCTTCTGGTGCCTTCTCCAAATGTTTCTCACTCCAGTAATCTGTAATTCTGCTTCCAAGAACTGGGTGGGTTACGGCAGGTTGTGCCTGACCAAATGATTTAAAGGACTAGCAGGAGGCACGCAATAAGGAATTCCTTAGGGTGTAACCAAATGACTTGGCTGCATCATTCTCCCTCTCAGACGTTGTCTCAGGGTCTGCCCTGTAAAAGAGCAACACTGGGCTCCAGCCAGTCATCAAGCTACAAAATTATTTTTTGTGACTTAAATCAAAATCTAGAGGAAATAAAAAATTAATCTAATTGTTCATGCCAAACTCCCCAAGGTTCAGACAGACAGGACTTCTCCTGGAACTCTGAAAATACTAACTACAAGGACACATAATTCATTCTGCTTATACTATATCAGTTCCCCAGGAATAAAGATGCAGGTAACAGAGCCCATCCAGCGGTCAGTTTTATTTTGCAGGAATCCAAGTACAAATTTAGCCTTGCTTTTGTCAGATACAGTGTTAAAATTGGAAAGAATGAAAAAATCTGAAGCGGGCACTGCACATTTTTTGTGGGTTCTTTCTTGTGGAACAGATGTTGATTTCTTTCTCTCCCTTCCAGAGCCAAAGGCAAGCCCTAATCAGTCTGCCAAGTTTACAATCCATGCACGCTCAAGGTGTATCACCAGTGATTCTCTCGACAACGTATCAGCTTACAAAAAAGTTGGCTGCCTTAACTAAAAGCTAGGTTGATGACTGTCTTCTAAGAAAAGAATAACACATTTCTCCACTTATTCTATCTTGTTAGGTACATAATAGAGGTACTATGACTTCCTTCCTAAAACAGCATCATAGAGTTTTCCAGTCCTCTTGACTTGGACCTCTCTGAAGCCACCTGCCTCAAGGAGCTTGCTGTACGCTGCTGCTGTTCGCTCTTTTCCTTCGGTCTGCACCAACATATTCATTGAATACAGTTGTGTCTCTAAAGGCCCACTTTTATCTTCATTCAGAAGCGATTCAACCAGCAGCACTCCACCACCTGGTTGAATAAAGACAAATAAAACACATGCTGAGCTCTGAGAAGACGAGATATTTTTCAGCTGAGTTATTAGATCCTAACCTTTAGCTTCAGGAAGAAGCAGCCTCTACATTAAGTCTGATTTCAGTATCACAGATGACAATGAAAGAGCAAAAGAATTGGAGTGTACCTCTGCCTGGCTACACAGGTACTGATGTTCTGAGGCTGTAGGGCTGGGATGGAAATTCGCATTTCCCCCACCTGAAATCCACAGGAGCTGAGCCTACTGATTTTGCTGAGAACCCAGCCCTGTAGGCAGTATTTTCAAAGCTCAAGAGTTCAGTGTGATACTTAATGTGATTTTTACTATGACATATACACCTATCTGTCTAAAAAACTGCCCAGATCCCCAGTCCTTATACCTAATTATGTTGAAAGAGGAGTCCCTGTGGAGGAGACTAAAAATGGAAGCCAGATAACAAGAACTAAGACCAGGCCCTATTTGGCTCAGCTGCACACAGCTGCCTTAGGGAAGCAAAATATTAAACCAAGAAACCCGTGCACTGAAACTCTGCCACCCAAATTGTGCATTGAAACTGGTGTGCTTCACATAACTGATGGGCAAGAGTCTCCCAGCTGCTCTTCAAGAGCTCACACCTACCAGGTTTGCAAGACTTGTGGACTTTTGCCAGCAGCTGCCTGCATTTGTCATCATCCCAGTCGTGCAGTATCTTGGATAAAATATACAGTTCAGCTTCTGGAATTGAATCGTTAAAGAAGTCTCCTGTAAAGCAAGAATGCATGTATTACACAAAACTCCCAAATCACAGGGGGCTGAGTTAAGCAAATATTTTCAGTTCTGTCCAGTTCTAAAGACTCTGGGCTTGCCATGTCCATCACCCCTATCAGACAGCAACAGAGCTGCCAGGTAAAAGTCCTTTGTGGCACTGCATAGGGAATTTTGTTCTTGTTCAGTCTCAAGAAGGTCTGAAATGTTTAAAAGCAGCATCTCATCTGAAACAACCTCTGATGCACACGAAAGCATGTGAATCTAAGTTTTTTCCAATGACAGGAATTCAGATTCATAAAGTGTTAAGAAGAGGAGGCAGTTTCCCATGGTTTCTGTCATGGGAAAAAGGGAAGAATTTTCCCTTACCTAAGCAAATTCTCAAAGACCTTCAGTAACCACAGAGCTGCATCATAAATCCATAAGGAAAAAATACACTTCTCTCACCTCCTAAGCACTAGCTTCATCATCATGCCTTTGTTCAGCACCTGGTGTACTGCATTCAGACTTTTCTCTCTGCATCTTACTTTGTCATTTCTGCTCCTGTTTTTTTTGCACCACTGGCACACATAACATTTCCTGTGTTTCCCCATCCTTCTTTTCATATACTCCTTTCCTTCTTCAAGGCTTCTTTCCTCTCTCTGAGTTTCAAGCAATATTAAGTCATTCCAACACTTTGAAGGCTTTTGTAAACATGAAAAATTAGATCTTCCTACACTCGTTTTCATCACAGATGGTGCAAAGACCATGCAAGATCTATGGACTGGGCAAGAGGAATATGGGCTAGCTCACCCACATTCAAAGCCTGCAATAACTTAGGATTTGAAAGTCAATCAGTTGTGACCAGAGAGGAAAAACCCTTGCTCAGAGCAGGCCTGGCATCCCACACTTCTGCCAGGAGGTCTGCACAGACAAAAAGGGAGTGTTAGGAAGATTTATAACATGGCATGGCAGTTTTTTAGATTTGCAGGACATTTTTTTTTTTTTTGTTAAAGTACCCTTGTACTGAAGAAATCAAATAGTTCTGTTCGGGAGTAAAGAGCTTCTGGTTGCTGAATAACCGAGTCTCAGAGAAGGTAGCTGCAGGTGCCCAACTGGCACAGCCCTGCAGTAGCAAGGAATTGCAGGCCTGGACTGGGGAAGCCGCAGTCTGGGATGCTGTGCCCATGTAAGGGGTAGCTGGAGACCTGAGCCTCCAGTATGGTTGGTACCTCTGAGCAGAGACAAGGGGCTCAGGAGCAACAGCTGCAACAACACAACACTGCTGTCCGCACCTACCTTCATGGAAAGCGATCCGACGCTCCTCAGGGGGAATAAATTGCTCTTTGGCCATTTGCACGACTTTTGGCAAGTCATAAATTGTGACTGTGGAATTTGGGTACAAAGAAACACACTCCCGGGCCAAAGCTCCTCCACCTCCTTTGGGGAGAGAAAAAGAAAGTCAGAGCTGACACAAAACCAGCCTGTTCATCAACACCTCCATGAAGCGATGCTGGCAATGGTGCATTCACTGCAGCTGGCAAGGTACGTTTGCTCCCCACATGTTGCTGAAAGGGGAGAGGAGGGACAGGAGAGGCCACTGTCTCCATTTGTGCTGTGGGAAACCCCCAGGGCCCCAGCACCCAGGCCTATGGGGTCAGCCCCAGTGCTTACAGCTCTTATGTACCCCCTCAGCCAGACCCAGTGGTGGATGCTGGAAGGTGGGAAATGAAACAGAGGGCCACACAACCAGGCACGGGGGAAGCAGCGATGGAGCCCTTGAGGGAGCCTGATGACTCCCATGTCACCCTGGCCTGGGACAGCGGGCGCTGCAGGGTAGAAGGCCGCAGGCAATATCTCAATGACACTGGCTGAAGGGCCGGGGGGGAA